TTATTTCATGATGATTCATCCTCAAAATAAAAAAAGTCTTCAGAATTATATGGCTACTTTATCAAAAATTTTAAATTATATGATTATATAATTTAAATTTTTAAATTATGTTTTAGCTAACATTTCATATTCAACCTGCAGCTGTATAAACCATAGGGATTCTCGCTGAAGTATGCTCCAGGAATTTTTATGCAGATGGAAAATATAAATGCTTTGTTACCAGTGCATAAATACATGCTATGGCTTTATGACAAAAAATAATGCCCTGGAAGTCAGAATATGCTCCTCAAGTGGGAGACAGGAAAATGTTTGAACCTGAAAACAATGTAGAGTCACATGCTTGTAAGAAGCAGTTGAATGGGTATCCAGAGGTAACTTCCTATTTTACCTGGAAGCTGCTGGGTTGTATTTCTTGGCTCAGATGAATTTCACTATAAATCTCTTTTATCGAAGTCCTCCTAAGCATAATGAAGCAGAAATGTGGGTGTAATGGAGAAGGCATGTGCATTTTTAACTCCACAGGAGTGCTACGTTGCCGTAGAAAAGAGAATTTGCAGTAGCCTGGCCTCCCAGGGTCAAGGAGGTATTCTGATGGAACAGAGGGAAAGCTATAATTCATTCTTGCTGTATGATTCACAGGCCCTTTACCATGAGTTTGTCCTTTACCACGAGTTTGATCAACCCACTGGAGACTTATTTGCAACACTAAGACCCGTTTAATTCCTATTGAATCCATTGTAGCTCATGTGTATAGCGTTGAACTGCTCCATGGGGTTTCAAGGCCATGATCCTTCTGAAACTTTGGCTCACCAGAGCAGTACCGAAGAACAGCCCACCCAATTCCGGGCTGCAGGTGCTCTCTGCTGGGGTTACTCAGTTTGACTTCCTCACATCCTCTCAGTTGAGGGAGAGCAGTTAGTGGCTCAAAGAACTGCTATTCTGGTCAAGAGAGGAAGCACAAATCTGAATTGGACAAAGGCCAGAGTGTTCCTTAGAGGCAAGGATGGCAAAACTTTGTCTTATGTACTTTGTACATATTCTCAGGAGAGACCAGTCCCTGGAGAAGGAAGAATACAATGTTTGGTAAAGTGGAGGGGCAGCAAAAAGAGGAAGTCACTATACAAGAGAGATTGACACAATGGTTGCATCAATGGGCTCAGGCATAGGAACAATTGTGACCATGGCGCAGGAGCAGGCAGTGTTTCATTTTGTTGTGACCAGGGTCACTCACTATGGGTCAGAGCAGACTTGATGGCACCTACCAACAATAATATGATGAAGAACTAGTTTCAGGGTCTCTTCTGACACCCACTTGGATCTTCTCTTTTTTTCCTTCCTGTCCTTTGAGTTTCATCATGAATCATGTTCTTGATGTCCTCCCACAGCTCATCAGGTCTTGTGTCATTAGTGTTCAATGCATTAAATCTTTTCTTGATATGCTTTCAAAAGTTAGGTAGGGTAGATTCAAGCTGGTAATTCGGCTTTTATAGACTTGTGTTACAGTAATTTGCTTTAACCTAGACTTACATAGGAGCAATTGATGGCCTGTTCCACAGCCAGTCCGTGGCCTGGTTTTAGCTGCTGATCCTGTGCTTCTCCATCACCTCTCCCCACAGATTTGGTCAATTTGATTTATGTCTAGTCCATCTGGAGAAGTCCACGTGTACAGTCACTTTCATACTGTTGAAAATATATATACTTTCTACGCACAAGATGGTGGTCCTGCAAAAGTCTATCATGGAATCTCCATCTCTCATCATGGCCATATTTCCCAAGGGCTGTTCCTTCCGCTTTGCTCCCAATTTTTGCATTCCAATCACCAGTAATTACCAATGCAAGTTGATTGCATGTCTGACCAATTTCTGACTGAAGAAGCTGGTAAGGTTCTTCAATTTCTTTGCCACTGGCTTTTGTGGGGTGCATAAGTTTGCATATTTATGTTGATTGGATTTCCTTGAATGCTGAGAGCTATAATCCTATCACAGAAAGATTTGTACTTCAAGACTGACTTTGCAATGTCTTTTTGACAGTAAATGTCACATCATCCTCTTTGTTTTAAAAATCATTTTACTGGGGCCTCTTACAGCTCTTATCACAAGCTAGCTATACATGCATCTGTTGTGCCAAGCACATTTGTACATATGTTGCCATCATCATTTTCAAAGCATTTTCTTTCTACTTGAGCTCTTGGTATCAGCTCCTCATTTTTTCCCTTCCTCCCCCACCCTCTCTCCCTCATGAACCCTTGATGGCTTATAATTTTTTTTTTACCGTTGTCGCCCTTCACCTACTTTTCTGTTTTTCATCCCCCTGGGTGTGTGTGGCTGGGGGAGGGGTTCCCCATTCTCCCTCAACCTCCCCCCTACCTTCCTGACATTGCTACTCTCATTATTTGTCCAGAGGACTTTATCTATCCTGAATTCCCTGTGTCATTCCTCTTGATTGTGTCATCCCAGCAAAGTAAATCATATTACTTCCTGATTTAAAATGGCAATACCAGTCCATTTCAGCTCACTAATGCCTGGGATATCAATCATTATGTGTTCCATTTCATTTTTGATGACTTCCAATTTTCCTAAGTTCACACTTAGCACATTCCAAGCTCTTATCATTAGCATATTTTTCAGCTGGGGCTCCTTTTGTGTCCCATCAGCAAATGACAGTTCTGAAGGCTCCACTTTCCCAGGCTACCCCACTCACATCATCATAGTCAACTCCACTCAGAGAAAGCAACGCTTGCTCTCTCAGATGCTGAATACACTCAGATGCTAGTGCCCCATCCCAGCCCTATCACTGAGAATGTTCTGCTTCCACTCATTTAGACCTTCAGTATCTGACAATGATCCAGAACTGTGCATAAGGTGATCAGCAGCTAGTTCCTCGGAAGTAGACATCCAAGTCCTCCTTCATTTCTGTCAGTTGTATGTCAATAAAACTGCTTAAAAAACACCAATACAAAGGAGTTTCAAAATCTTCATGGAAAATGGAATCAAATGGTAACAGAACTTTTTGAAGCTCCCTTCACATATAATACTGTAAAATATTATTTTTTTTAATTTCCAAAATAAACTCATTATTCTCATCCCCAAATCAGCTTGCTTATTTCTATAAGAGAATCACCACCCTTCCAGTCTTGGGAGCCCAATAACCCAGCACTTTCTTTTATCTCCCACATCCAGTCACCGACTAAGCCCTTGTTACTAAGAGGCTATCGTGGTTAACTTTTCCTCCTCCTCCTCCTCCTCCTTCATTGCTATATTCTTGTTGTTATTGACTATTGTGGAGCCACTCCCCAACTCATGTAGACCCAGTACTCAACAAAATTACACACTTACTGACCCTGAGCTATATCCACAATCAGCTCCAGGTCAGACCATTATGATCCAAAAGCTTTTAATCTCCTCATTTTCATAAGGCATCACCAAGCTTTTCCCCCTAGTCTGTCTTATTCTGGAAGCTCCAATTGTCTTCAAATCTATTCAGCATCAGAACAAGATGTAAACTTCCAAACACAGACAAGTGGTGGCTGAGCATGAGGTATGTTGACCAGAAATGGAATCTGTTCTCTTTATGTTGTTATTGTTGCCATTGTTGTTAGTTGCCGTCAAATCAGTTCCAACTCATAATGACCTGGGTACTACAGAGCAAAACACTGCTTAGAGAGCTAAGTCATCCTCAGTCATTGCTATATTTGAGCCCACTGTTATAGCCACTGTGTCAATACATCTCATTGATGCGCCTCCTTACTGACTCTTCACCAAGAATGATGTCTGTCACTATGGACTAGTCTCGACACTAGTCCCTCCTGATAACATGTTTAAAGTATGTGAGACAATGTCTCAACAAACTCGCTTTGAAGGAGCATTCTGATCTCTCGGATAGAAGGTAAGAATTCTACCAGTAAACTACCACTATTCCCACTAAGAGCCTTTTTGAATCTCTCGCATAAACTAGCACATCATCTCATTTTTTTCTTTGGTTCATCTGGATCCATATTGTTGAAAGTGACCTATTCAAAAGTAGAACCCTATTCTCGGCAATATCATATTCGAACAGTTCACACACTCATTATGTGAACATCAAAGCTCACCACGATGATTATACAATCAGACAACTCAATGTCTTTCCTCATTTCTCTTCTTTATGTGTGCATTTTGAAAAAGCAAAAGCAGTCTTCTGCTTCTGAGCTTTTTCTCATGCTTGAACATCTCTGTAGCACCTCCCCCTCCATTCACCATCATCTTTTCAAGAAGCTTTCCACAAGTCTCCACTTCTGAACATATGCTCCCTTTATAGCGCTCACCTTTTCATGCACACACATCATTAACCTGATTTTTAAATCAAGCCAACAAAACTAAGCTTTCTTTCAGGCTGAGGTAGTAAGTTTATTGTGCCAACCTGGCCGATAAACACATGTGGGGTGAATTGAAGGGCGGAGGGATAAATAGCTCAGTGAGCCCGGCCTCTAGTCCTCTGGTCTCTTGCTTTCTGATGGTTGCACCAGGGTGCATCTGCCTTAGCACTTCCCTGCTTCAGCTGGCAAGACTCACTCCCTGCAAGACATCCCTGAGGAGAAGCCGCATGGACCTACCCTGATGCAGCCCTGGGTGCTGGAGCAGCCGTGTGGAGACCCCTGCCAGCGCTGAGATGCTTACACGTTCACTGACTCAGCTTTCCTCCTGCAGTTGGCGTCATAGTGTGTGTTTTGTGAGATGGAGGAGGACTTTGTGGATTGGTGTGGGACATATGGGTTAATGGGTTAATGTTGGACTTGTGGGCTTGGGCAGCAGTGGGTTGGCATGTTTTCTTGATGTGCACTTACCCTTTATATGAAACTCTGTCTTACACATGAGTTTCTGTGGATTCGTTTCTCTAAAGTACCCGGACTAATACACAGGTTACAATATTGTCCCCTCTTAAAGAACCTAGTATAGTAGGCTGAAACAGTAGATACTAAAATATTTGCTATATGATGATGATATTGCTCTTTTCTTTTCCAGTAGCACCGCCCCCCTATAGTTATGACCACGAGATGGAATACTCTGCTGATTTGCCTCCACCATACTCCGCAACACCACAGGCTTCAGCCCAGCGGTCACCACCTCCTCCTTATCCTGGCAATTCAAGAAAGTGATCCTACTTCCCGAGGAGAATGCCTGCCCATTGGTGATCTTGCTCAGGACAGAAATGCCTCGTCTTAGAAACGAATGGGAAAAGATTGCCTTAAGGAATACATTTGGAGCTCAGACAATATTTTAAGTGGAAGGTCCATACTAAGAGATAAAGATTTTCTGCCCTGCTCAGTTGGATAATGAAGATGGCTCATGACTGGACAACATTTTGTTCTGTGATGAATAAGGTTGTCGTGAGTCAAAGCCCACTGGATGGCAGCTAACAGCAATATCTTACTCAGAGCTGATCCCATGTGGAGTATTATGCTTGAGTCCATGTGTACCAACTTTTAGGAAACTTACTGATCAATTTAAGCACATTCAGAGAAGAGTGATGAGATTGCCAAAACATCTGAGAAGCATATTGTTTGAGGAATAGATCCTGGGAGAAAAAAAGTCCACTCATGTAGGACAGGAAAGGGGTTCAACTTACAGAAACAACTTTATTTTGGGTAACTTTAAATCTTTAAGATGAAAATAACCAGTCTTTCTTTCATTAATAAGTATACACTGAGTGCTTAAGAACCTAGCATGTGCCATGCATACAGTGCAGTGTGAGACACTGGAAGGATGTTATAGGGAGGGCATTGGATTCAGTATACAAAAGAACATTTGAATAACTGGATCTTTCTTACTGGTCATGAAGCTCCCTGTTACCCGGACTGCTCAAATAGAGCCCAGTGATCTGATAAGAGAAATACTCTAGACATAACCCCTAAATCAAATGATAGATGGCTTCATTGGAAGCAAAAAGGACTCTTGTTTTAGGTCAATGTGGGATACATTTCTCTGCCTCCAGGAATGAATACACGGGTATGGTTGAATCTGAACCATTAAATTTTAGCACTAAGAAAGGATCAAAGGATTCAACAACTGCATAAAGCCAAGGACTTGACAATGCCAGCCAGCTACTGTCATCTAAAAAGCATCTAGCTTTATCTAGAAGATGATGATAAAAAATTATTCCAACAGTGAAGATTAAAATACATATTGAGTCCCACAGGTAACAAATACTTCACTTTCAAAGTTAATGGTAATACTTCAAATATTCACTGGACTTTACATCAGAAAGTAAAAGGTTCGAACTTGAGCAAGATGTACACTACACTTACACACACACACACACACACACAAAATCCAGAAAGTTATTGTTTGGTCCAGACTCCTTCTGTGGAATTCCACTCAACTTTACTCTCCAAAACCCAAACTCATTGCTAGTGAGTCCATTCTGGCTCATAGCGACCCTACTGGACAGAGTAAACGTTTCCCTGTGGGTTGTCAAGACTGTACATCTTTATGGGAGTGCAAAGCCTCATCTTTCTTCTGAGGAGCAGCTGGTGGTTTCAAAGTGTTAACCTCAAAATGAGCAGCCCAATATGTAATACACTATACTACCCCTTGATTCTTACAAGAATAAGTTAGCCTTTAGAAAAAGTTACATCGTTAATGGCAAGGTTAAGATATTGACTTCAAAGATTTTCCTTTGACCAAAATGCAAGATTTATGAATTCCCTACCTTTGAATAGAAAAGCTTTAATAAGTAATTCAAATGTGCCATAATTTTGCTGCAAATGACCTTGAAATTTATATTTTCACTTGAGTTCTTTTATGTATTTAAAATTTTTTATATTGACTAAATATTAAGGCTAGATGGTGGAATTTTTGCGTCATTTTTATAAATAAACCTAAAAAAATTTCATCAATATCATCACCATAATTCAATAAAATTCCCCAATTGATACTGAGAATTTATAGGCTAAAACAATAAAAAGAAATGTCTGAAAATATATTTTTTTAGTTCCCATATTTGTAGCTAATACAAGTAACATATTTTCATCTTCCACCATTTAAAATACATTGATGTGACTGAAATACAGTCTAACTGCCAGTGAAATCTGAAGGCTAAACTTGTTTTGAAGGGCTTTGGGTTTCTAAGCCTTGATCATTTTCTTAATTATAAAGACCCAAATCATTCGAGGATTCCAGTCTATTCTAGGGAAAGGGTCCCTGACTTACATGAGGATTTTAGCACAATTTTAACAGTCCATATGCTTCATTTCTCTCTCTCTTCTGCACATATGATCATACTCAGTTACACTACAGATAGATAATTTACTGTGCCTGAGCCTCCTTGAATTTCAGAAATGTGTTACAGATGACCCACACATTTCTTAAGAAAGATTTAGATGAAAAGGAGCAGTGGGAATGGGATTCTCATCATCTTTGCCATCAATAAGCCTTTATTATGTGCCTCCTATATTCTGCAAACATTAGCCATAGAGGAACCATCCCTCTCCATCTCTCCTCACACTGCTTCTAGGCTCCCTAAGGCATATCACAAACCCATAGCCCTACAGTAGATGAGTATTTCACTCTGTGTATTTCATTTCACAATAACATGAATATGCATGTGACCAGGATAGACTTTGGGAGTTCACTGATTGTTTCCACAGATGATACTCGGGGGGGATAGTACATGACATGACAGTTTTGGTTTATGTATTTCTCATGGATTATATATTCCCAGTGGCCAAAGTGCTTACAACCAGCAATAAAATGAAAGAAATTATTGTAATGAGGGTTACGTTTTAGTTGTCTTGTATTCATTTTTCACTCACCCTCCCTTACTACTGATTTAGCCTCCCTGTTTTGTAGTGAAACACTCAACTACACAACTGTGAACAGGTAAACACTCACTAAAAAAAAGGGGTGGTATTTTTAATTCAACTAGAAGTACCTCGGAAGAAAGACGTGGTTGTCTATGGCAAATAATACAGCCATTGAAAACCTTATAGAAAGAGATTGTAATCCAACAGGCATGGGCTTGACATGGGGTGAGGGTCACCAGGCAGCCACTGGTTTGTTTGTTCTCTACCGGAAACATGGAGCTGGAGCCAGGGAGAGCTTTAGTTTCAATTCTGTCTCTTGCCTCCATGTTTTGGGACAAGCCACTTCATCTCTGAGATCCCCTCTCTGTTTCTGGACAATGTAAATAATAGAATCTGCCTCATCACACTTTGTGAAAGTTGAATGAATATCTATGAAATCCCAGATAGAGTGCCGGGCACACAGAAAAGGTTCCATAAAAATTAGCCCAAAATAAATGAACAAAAAGAAGGATATAATGGTAACAGCCTCTACTATTGTGCTATCCAACACAACCGCTACCACCTATCTATTTAAATTCACTGGAATGGTATTAAATAAAAAATAGAGCCCCTCAGTTTCACTAGCCCTATTTCAAGTGTGCCAGAGATTCTTGGCGAGCACCTGGCGGGCAGCACTGCTCTGGCACAATTGTGCCAAGCACGATGAGGTAGGAAGGAGCTGACGAAACCATTCCAGACTCCCTGTCTGGGAGAGTCTGTGAGCTTTGACAGTTAAACATGATGCTTTTCAACAGATATGTGAAGAGGCCATTGCTACGGAACTAAAGAAGAAATTGTCAAAACACCTTTGGCAGAATGGATTTGCAAGAATGCATGGGTAGTGCATGCACTCAGGGTTCCTGCAGGGACTAGGCGTAGAACTGCGTTGTAAGTTTTGTGGCTGATGGCGGAAGAGAGATGCTGAGCTGGCCCAGGAGCTGCAACCGATTCAAATCATTTCTGCAACGATTTGCGTCAGCTAGCGAAGCCACTACAAGAGCATGCAGGGTTGCCAAATTTTTCCCTTACTGCAGTACTGGGGCAGCACCCTTCTGTGATTTCCTAGTCTGGAAGCAGCTCTCACCCCTCATCTGCTGCATTTCCAGCTTCCCTTATTCAGCCAAACCCAGTTTGCCAGCTTCTGGCTGCAGATGTGATAGTGCCCGGCACACACAAGACGATGTATTGAGCCCATCAAATAGTGGAGTAGCTCTGACTGCTAGTGTTTAATTTTAACTCAATTACAACTCAACACTTATTGAAGAAGAAAAAAACACTGCCAGAATGCCAATGTTTGAATCAGATCCTGCATATGTCATTTCTATGTTCTGATCGCAGGCTCAATCTGCAAGAGATATGTCTTAACTTGATTCAGTTCAATGCCCTTAAGTGCAAGGTCACTGTGTGGTCTGTGGTGAAGATCAAGAGCGGTCAGGACCTGCAGAAAGGGGAAAGGATCAGGGCTGCTGTAGCAAAGGACCATAAACTGAGGGCTTGAAAGCAGCAAAAGTTTGCTCTCTCCAAATTCTGGGAGGCAGAAGGCTGAGCTGAAGGTGCCAGCAGGTTTGCTCTCTCTAAAGACTCTAAACAAAGATCCTTCTTGGTCTCTTCCAGTTTCTCGCAGCTCCAGGCATCCCAGTCTCCACCTCCATCATCACATGGCCATCCCTCTGCGCCTGTGTCCCTCCTCTGTGTCTCTTGTTAAAGAAGCACCAGTCAGAGTGGATTAGGACACACCCCAATTTAACTAGTTGCATCTGCCAAGATGCGATTTACAAAGAAAACATCATTTACAGATACACAGATACTGGGGTTAGGACCTCAAATTATCCTCTATGGGGGACACAATTCAATGCCTAACAGAGACCTACAAAACTTCTTTTATTTTCTTGTAGCAAGCAGCTTTACCCCAAAGTGTTTCCTTCTTCTTGAACTCCTTTACTGCAGTGCAGAGAATCAGGGCTTTGGAGTAGGGAGACCTTCTATCTCTCATCTCTGACATCTAGTTAGAGCTGCTAAACCAGCTCACTGAATTGTAAGACCCCACTTTCATGTGAAATGTGTGAACAACACCTGCTTTGCCAGATCTCTGCAGTGAGTGTCAGTGGTGTATGCACAACACCTGTCGCAAAAACCCTCTCTGGCTTGGGAACTCAGGCACGCATGCACATGCGTGTTTTCTTTCCTCAGCCCCCGTGTTCTCCTCCCGCCCACCTCCCAGCCATACTCCTGCCATCAGCAGATCTATTAGATCGCCGCTGCTTTGGAAGGAACCCCCGGCAGCACAATGGGAACACCTACTAACTGAAAAGTCGGCAGTTCGAGCCTACCAGCTGTTCCACGGGAGACCCTGCAGTTTCCTTCTGCAAAAAACCTATAGCCTTGCAAAATGACGGAGCAGTTCTAAAGGTCCGATATGAATTAGAATCCACTGAAGGGCAATATGTTTGATTCAGGTTTGTACTGCCATGCGACAAATGATACCCAAACCTATTGGTTTAAAGTGACAATAACTATGGTTTCTCTTCTGTGGGGCTCTGCAATCTGGGTGCAACTAATGCAGGTCCTCTGGTTCCAAGTCTCCTGGAGCTTGCGCTCCAGGTGTCGGCCACAACAACAGGTGGACCTCAGGGCCCAACGGAGGAAGTAGATTGCCTCCACCCTCGATAGTTTGGCTGTTGATACAACCCAGGTCTTTGCAAATTTTGGGATCCCTTGCCATATGAACCCCTTTAACGGGCAAGTGAATTTGTGAGACAACATAAAATAACTCAAATGTTTGACTGCTAAGTGAAAGGTCCAACCTAGAGGTACCTTGGAAGAAAGGACCGGACATCCCCCCCCCCCCCCAAGATTTGTCTTGAAAACCTTATAGAGTAATTGTACTCCGTACACTTGGGGTCATCTGATTCTGAATCAAATCAATAACAAGACTGCCAGGAAAGCAAATACAATCTGCCTTGGCATCAGGGCCAAAATGCCTCTTAGAAGTGAGGCTGGTGCGTCTCGGTCTCACACACTTTGGACATCTGGGCACGATATAAGGAGAGACCATCTCATGCTTGGTAAAGTAAAGGACGTCACGCTTGGTAAAAGTAAAGAGTCAGCAAAAAAAAGAGGAAGCCCTCAACAAAACGGATGGACACAGTGGCCGCAATAATGAACTCAAATACAGCAAGTCTGAGGATGCCAGCGCACCAGGAGGGGGTTCATTCTATTGTGAACAGGGTCACTATGAGTCGAGCCAATTCAACTGCACCTAACAACAAGAACATGGCCGTCAGTTGGAGTTCTTGGGCACAGCAGTTTCTGTGCTAGGCTGTTCATTAAAAGAATAGAGATCCAGACCAACCACTCGAAGGGACCACAGGAAAAATGCCTGCCAACCTACTTCTGAAAGAGCAGCCATTAATCTTAGAAGCACAGAAGCAGATGAATCTAGAAGTCCAGGGATTCCTAAGATGTTAAAACAGACAGAAAAGACCACCTCTTAGATCCAGAGCTTTAAATTCAGATATGTAGTCCCCTAAATTGTGGGAATATCAATTTCTGACCCTTACAATCACACATTTTTGACAGTTCTTTTGCAGAAACATTAAGAAATTGAGATAACAAAGTCTAACCAAACACCTTCCCTCTAATAAGAACTGAGCAGCACAAGAGCTGAAGGATTCTTGGGTCCAGACTTGCCTCTGATCAAATTGCTTTTCTTGAATTGACCAGAGTAGACTGGAGCCAGCAACATTCCCACAAACCAGCCAAAACTACTGCCATCAGGTCAAGTCTGGCTCATAGCAACCTCAAGGCCCCACTAACTGCATAAAGGCTGCATCCCTAAGTGATATTGAAAGAAGACATGCAAGGGTTATGCTTCTTGTAAGCTTCATTTATGAGCTGGCCTAAAGCCCACCCATAGTTTGTCAGAGAATAAGAAGCCCCTGTACCTTCGTTGGCAAGTCTAAACATGGCCCCAGATCTAACTTTCCACTTGTGGCAAGGCACATGCTCTTCGGTTTGTGTGTTCAGTAGATCTATTTACAAACTACCTAATCTTGAATGTTGTCGTTCAATACCATGGAATCAGTCACCCCCTCACAGCAACCCAGTGCTCAACAGCACAAAATGTGACATGGTCTCTTGCCATCTGCATGATCAGTGATGGATCAAATCATTCTGATTTTTAGAACTCTTACTGAGGGATTTGGGGGAGTAACACATCAGGCCTTTCTTCATAGTCTGTGTTTGTCTGGAAGTTCACCGAAACCTGTTTGGCATCATGGCAGCATGCATGCCTTCACTGACAGAAGAATGGTGCCTCTGGATGAGGTTCACTGACTGGTAATGGGACCCAAGTCTTGGACCTACAAGGGGAGAATTATAGTGGTAACACCAATGCCCATACTGAATGCCTTTCCTAAAACTGTAGAAACCCCCAAACAAATAGCTGTTCAGAACTGCTGGGGCATGGACAGGAAATGTTTGCTCTCTCTGAATGCAACATTAAGAAGCGATTGGTAGAAAACTTGTTCAAACTCTTGGGTGCCTGAGTGGGCTCGGCTGCCCCTATTCTCAAGCTAAGAAGCCTCAGAGGATTTGCCACCTGCCATTTCTGAAATGATTTTCTGAATTGTGTTTGGTCGTTAATGATAGATGCATAGAGATCTCACGCTGTCACTGTCCTTGGCCTGAAAATTAGATAATTTAATATCTGTTCCTAACACAAATCCAAAGACAACTGAATGATCTGATTTTCCCATTTTTGTAGCTTATTACTAATTAATGTCGGGATTATCACACATCTTGTGAAGCATTTCTGTTGACTGGAAAGCAATTTGAAAGCAGTTCAAAAGGATGGGTAAGCAGAGTTGAACCCCATCTGCCTTGACTGTGAAATACATATGAAGTCCAAGTGCTCTGAGTCTCTTGTCACT